CTGCCACCCCTCCCGATGTCGCCATGCTCGGGGACAGCCGCTGACCCTGAGTCCCCGCTCCCTGCGGGTCTCGTCCAGCTCCCGGCTCAGCCTGCCCAGCTCCTGCAGCGCTTCCAGGAGCCGCGAGTCGGGCCCGGCCCCGCGCAGGAGGATGGAGCTCTGCCGGTTCGCCTCCTTCTGCTGCACCAGCATCTGCGCGGGACGGAGCGCGTGTCACCGGAGAGGGGACAGTGCCCGGTGTCACCGGAGAGGGGACAATGCCCGGTGGCACCGGCAGAGTGGGGACAATGCCCGGTGGCACCGGCAGAGTGGGGACAATGCCCGGTGTCACCGGAGAGGGGACAATACCCGGTGTCACCGGCAGAGTGGGGACAATGACCGGTGTCACCGTCCGGCGGGGCAGAGAGCCCCGGTGTCACCGGGAGAGTGGGAACAATCCCCGTTGGCACCGTCCAGGAGGACAGAGAGCCCTGGTGTCACCGAGAGAGTGGGGACAATGCCCGCTGGCACCGGCAGAGTGGGGACAATGACCGGTGTCACCGTCCGGCGGGGCAGAGAGCGCCGGTGTCACCGGGAGAGTGGGAACAATACCCGCTGGCACCGTCCGGGGAGGGCAGAGAGCCCGGTGTCACCGGCAGAGTGGGGACAATGTCCGATGTCACCCTCCGCAAGGGATAAATCCCCGCTGGCACCGTCCGGCAGGGACAGAGCCCCGGTGTCACCGTCCGGGGAGCAGAGAGCCCGGTGTCACCAGCGGCGTGGGGACAATCTCCCGTGGCACCGTCCGGCGGGGCAGAGGTGTCACCGGCAGAGTGGGGACAGTCCCCGGTGTCACCGGCCGGGGGGGCAGAGAGCCCCGGTGGCACCGTCCGGGAGGGGACAGAGCCCCGGTGTCACCCTCTCGGAAGGGGATAAACCCCCGATGTCACCCGCCGGGAGGGACAGAGTCCGATGTCACCCTCTGGTGTCACCCTTGGGAGGGGATAGACCCCCGGTGTCACCATCTTGGGGGCACAGACCCCGATGTCACCATCTGGGAGGGGATAAAGCCCCGGTGTCACCCTCGGGTAGGGACAAATCTCGGTGTCACCATTCTTGGGGGACAGAGACCGGTGTCACCCTTAGCAGGGATAAACCCCCGGTGTCACCCTTGGGAGGGGACAGACCCCGGTGTCACCATCTGGGGGACACAGACCCCGGTGTCACCCTCGGGTGGGGACAGATCCCGATGTCACCCGCCAGCCTGGGTGATCCCATTCCCTCGGCAGTGCTGTGCCACCCCCCCGCCACCTCCGTGCCACCCCCGCGGGTGTCCCCAAGCCCTCGCCACCCCGGGGAGGGGACACGGGGACACCTCGTGGGCGAAGGCCTCGGCGTGCAGGCGCAGGTCCTGCTCCAGCTCCAGCTGCTCCAGCGCCTCGCAGTAATCCTGNGCCCTGGTGTCACCGGGAGAGTGGGGACAATCCCCAGTGTCACCGGCAGAGTGGGGACAATGCCCGATGTCACCGTCCGGCGGGGCAGAGAGCCCGGTGTCACCGGGAGAGTGGGAACAATCCCCGTTGGCACCGTCCAGGAGGACAGAGAGCCCGGTGTCACCGGGAGAGTGGGGACAATGCCCGGTGTCACCGTCCGGGAGGACAGAGGGCCCGGTGTCACCAGCAGCGTGGGGACAATCCCCGGTGGCACCGTCCGGGGAGGGCAGAGAGCCCGCTGTCACCGGGAGAGTGGGGACAATGCCCGCTGTCACCCTCCGCAAGGGATAAATCCCCGCTGGCACTGTCCGGCAGGGACAGAGCCCCGCTGTCACCGTCCGGGAGGGCAGAGAGCCCGGTGTCACTGGGAGAGTGGGGACAATGCCCGCTGGCATCGGCAGAGTGGGGACAATGACCGGTGGCACCGCCCGGCGCAGCAGAGAGCCTCGATGTCACCGGGAGAGTGGGGACAATGCCCGGTGTCACTGTCCGGGGGAGACAGAGCCCCGGTGTCACCCTTGGCAGGGGATAAACCCCGGTGTCACTGTCCGGGAGGTGACAGACACCCGGTGGATAAATCCGGGGATAAACCCTAGGTGGCACCGTCCGGGAGGGAACAGACCCCGGTGTCACCATCTGGGTGGGGACAGACCCCCGGTGTCACCAGCAGCATGGGGACAATCCCCAGTGGCACCGTCCGGGAGGGGACAGAGCCCCGGTGTCACCATCTCTGAAGGGGATAAACCCCCGATGTCACCCGCCGGGAGGGACAGAGTCCGATGTCACCCTCTGGTGTCACCTTTCGGGAAGGAATAGACCCCCGGTGTCACCATCTGGGGGACACAGACCCCGGTGTCACCGTCCGGGAGGGACAAAGCCCGGTGTCACCCTCTGGGAGGGGATAAAGCCCCGGTGTCACCCTCGGGTAGGGACAAATCTCGGTGTCACC